AGTAGGTACTTAGTTAAATTGCTTTTGTCATCCCACTTTTATTTTGGTACATTTTTACTAGTGTATTGTGTTGTTTATAGGTAGGTAAGGCAAGCCAGAGCATAAACGGACTTAAATATATATATACAAATAATAACAACTTAAGTTCATAAATTAATGGTAGTTAGTAATTTAATAATATAAAATTAATAAATAAACATGTTTACTACAGGTTTTTTTTTTTATTTATTTTTTTTTTTAAGTAATTAACAATCTGTATCAATATTAGACACAGTAAGAAAATGTGGTAAAGGTAAATGAGGTTTTTGTTGAAAGGAGCCACCCATTGATGACACTTTCTGCTAGCTTGAATTATGTTTACTACAGTAAATAAATAAAGTTGATATTTTACCACCTAGTTTTTTTCCATTCTTGCATAAGACGCTTTCTCACTTCAGACACTCTTTTGGGGTAGTCACTATTGATGAATAGCATCTTAAATGAGTTTTAAGTATACATAATAACGTTTTAAATATAGAACTGTTATAGGTATTACACAATTTAAATTCTGGAGAAATGGGTACTAGAGTTTGGAGAAAATAAGTTGGTAGCAAAAATGAGAAATTTAAATCGTGTAAATTAAATTAAATTAATAATAGTAATTTATATCATAATATGAGTACTAAGAATTGAAGAACACAAAGACCCTCTCCCAACAGTTCCGATCATCATGACAATTGTGTACGTAATACAATTCTAATATTTAAATAATAAAAATTAGGTTTCACTTTTACACAGTACTCTCGAAATAGAACTTTGCAATATGTCGAATGCGTCTGAAAGATAATTCACTGAATCGTGACATAGGTACTGATACATGTTATGAACCCGGTATCAATTTGACGCTTCTGATTGGTATTTTTAAATTTGGTTACTAAAAAATAATATCATATGGCTATATTATATAGGTAAGAAATTATTATAATATGTTATCATTACCAGCACAAAGGGAATAAGTGAGTAGGAGACAGGTCACTACGCCTACCAAATTTACTCGCCCAAGGGACGTAGGTAACATAGAGCGGTTGTAAATACCACCGATTATACCTTTTTGTATGTAAATTCCGCCGTTGCGATTTTTTTTGCCTTTAAAAGAACATGTAAATTCCACTGGTACTACTTACTTCTGACCTGTAAAATAAACGTAAGCTCTACCAATGTTATTTCCTGACCAGTTTTATTTTTAAATTTAAATTTAATGACTATCTGTATAAAGATTATAACAATACATAGTTTTTCTCCCAATTTAAGGATACAATTTATAAATTACACAACGTGTTCTAGGCTATCCTTTTGATGACTTAATTAGTGTTACATTTGTTGATCATAATTGACAATGTACAGCAGTTGACGTTTTGTCCTTACAAAGAAGCGTGTACTTATTACATTTTCCCAATTATACCTGAAAATGTAACATTTAGTTTTACTTAATTTTGTTTATTGTACCTATAATAATATAAAGGTACTAATTTGTATGTACACTTATGTATACAAATTTTGATTAGATTTATGGCTAAAATTAACTATAGAAAGTGTTTAACGTCATAATCTAATCTTTTTCATTTTTTAAATGAATGTTAAACTTTTTCAATTATCGGGTAGGTTATGCATTACAGGAATACACTTGTGAAGTGGTCGTCCTGTTCTAAAAAAAAAACGTGTATAAGGAAAGTAATAGTAATTTTCCTGATTACCTATACGGCTATACCTAATCATAGTTGATAAATTTAGTTTTACTTTATTTATTTTTTTATTGTACCAATTATAGTACATTAAATATATGTACAAATTATGTACAATTATGAGAACAAAATTTAGATTTTATTTTAATTTTAATACGACGGATTATGAGTTATTTTAGTAGCGGTACGGAGCTAACATTAATGCGTGTACCTATGTCAAAAAAATGTCCCTGCTTAATTTACACCCCGTTATAAATCCTACCCTAAAATCGGTTGAATTTATACAATATGTGCCTGTAACATCGCAACCTATTATCTAAATACTTAATAGGATTTATGTTACTTTTTATTCCTGAAATGGATATGTTTCCTGCTTTTGAATTAAAAAGCAAGAAAATCGCTTTTCTTTCTAACCTTAAAAAAATAAAGAAAATAGTCCTCTAAAACTAAGAATATTTTACTTTTGACCTCCCTAAGTAGCAACTAGATCCATATATCTACAAGATACTACACCAAAATTGAAAATCTAAGCATTGTTTTAATTATTATTCGTAAACATATGCCTACACAAAATAAACGCACATCATTAGAAAAACAGTACATATACATCGCTTTACTCAGAATCTAAAATATAAATTTACAGTTTAACGGGAACAGACGTACCTACAGTAAGTAATATATTTTGTTAATATAAATTATAGGAATAGTTTATTTTTCTGATCATTTTTTGGTTTTAAATTTATATGAAATTACAATCGGTCAACCATATCAAAATCATTTTGAGGTACCTAGGTATACCTAGTTAGGTAGGTATATATTATAATGATAATATTATGAAGTATGCCGCGAGCTGTAGATAGGGTACACACCGTATGTATTATAACAAAAAAACTAGTGCATTATAATAGACATCGTGTCATCCGTGTTGAAAGGTTTCTTTGTTGACTGCAATCGTGGCCTTTGAAGACTATACCGTGTAAAAACCAGCTGAACACTGCAGACAGAGGCGTCCCGTGGGTGACGAGTGTATCGCTGCAGGGCGGAAGTCTTGCCATCAGCATATTATTATACCTATTATTATATTCAAAAGCCGACCGGCCGGTCCCGAAATCGACCACTCAACTATATAATATATGTATATATCTGTGCGTGTGTGTACCACTGCAGTGAAGTGGAAAAACCCACTCCAGTTTTCAGCGGCAAGTATTTATTTATTTTTTAATGACTTCCGGACTTTTTGAAAAAAAAACATATTTTTAGATAAAATAAAAATATAATATTACATAATTTTTTTTACCAAATGTCAACCGCACACGCAACCACGGCGCACCTTTTTGTCACTGCATATCATCCTCACCAATCCAATTATATAAAAGTGCCCTCTGCGTCTGGTCTATAGTATATTTTACCAAAAATAATAATATTATTTGTAAGTTTATAAGCGTTGTAAAATAAATACCTATGTACAAACATTACGTTTCTCATTCGCTGATATTTTATTACAATCTACAGGACTAGATCCTAGATTCACTGCTGTCGTCGTCGGGAGATAAGTTTTTTAAAAATCATTTAAAGTATATTATTATAACGACTCGTGAACTATCCCTTAACTGCAACAAAATTATATTTTTGTGTTTTCCCAATTTTTTAGCTCATTGCCTGTGCACTCTCGATTTACGATACGACGTGACGGCGAAGTGATACAAATATCGTAATATATTAAGCTGAAAATTTACTGCTGTATTATTTAGTTTAAATTAGAATTTGTTTTTCTTCAGAGGCGTGAAAGACAGATTGCGCACTACTGTCTACTATAATAGGCAATCGTGTACCCACGCATCAATCTCGAGTCGACTCGCACGGAGAACATCATGGAATAACTGTTTAGAACGGTGGTTACCAAATTAGTGATTACTGCAAGTGAAATTTATAAGAAAGAAAAAAAATTATATGTAGGTTCTAAAGAATGAAAAATAGAAAAATTAAGCCACATACAGACAGGAGTATAGGGGTACCCACTTCTTTATCAATCCATATACCTAGTCACACATGGGAAGAAAGGTTTTTTCTCGTTTCCCTCAAATCAGATTTCACTTAGAAATTATAAAATGTATATTTTCATAATTATTTGTATATTTATATGAAATATACAGCCACACAGGAGTGCAAAACAAGTCATAATGAAATCATTGCACTATATTTTATTATGACGTCATAATAGAAGGATGTTTAGACTATTTACTTTTTGTCTCTGGCCATTGATTTTATAATATAGTATATTATAAAATCAATGCTCCGACCCACGAACACCATGGACCAAATGCATTTCCACAAAATCAAATTTTTTTAAATGTTTTTTTAGTAACTTAGGACCAAAATTAACAATTACAAAAATTATAGATAACTATACCTGTATTACCCAGGTATGGATGAAACTGAGATGAGAAATCATCCACCTGTGGCGGATACCTTGCAATATAATGAATAAGTATTTTTTTTCTTACGTGTAACCAATTACAAGAGGAAATAAACTAATGAGTGACCATGATTTTAATATTATTAATGGCGGGTAAGCCACTCTAAAATAACTGGTTCAATAACTAAAGATAATTATCCAAACCAGCTTCCTTGAATCGTCAAAGTCAAAAGAGTATTTTTTGATTGCATAAGCTGATGCTCATATGACTGAGACATCCACTTTTAATTTTATAAATATTAAGTGTTTGAAGGCTTCTGTTCTAATACTCTTACTAAGATCCTCCCAAGATCCCAAATATGATGTATGTGCACAAAATGTGGTGTCAAATGGTAAAAACTGTGGATTTGCATACCTGCCATGCGTCATTTAAATAACATAACCCGACTAATAATATGTGAGTTGGCATGCTATCTATTATAATCTATTGTTTCAATTTTGCTTTTGTTGAAGTATTCTCAATTGTATTCGTCAAAATCAGAAAGTATTTTTTGAGTAATTTTTTTGAACTCTTACTTTCTAAAAAGCAGTTTACTAAATAATAAATATTTCCCAATATCGCTTATGCTTAGAGTTTATATAATCTAAAGCTAAAGAAATTGGAAATTCTATAAATATGAAAACAATCCATAAGAACACCAACATGATGAAATAATAAATAAAATACTAAATATATTACCAAAAATGTTTCTCTATTTTCTTTAAGATTTATTTTGCTTTATATTATAATTAAAATTGTGTATACAAAAATTACTCGTTACTCGCTTTGTTGTTAATGCATAACATATAATATTAAGCTTATGTTTATTTTCAGAAACATTTCAGTCGAATTTTAATGATACTATATAACTTGATTTTTTTTTCAAACAAATATATAAAATATTAATTATAATCAGTTATTATCAATAACAATTAACCATTAGTCTAAATGGATTAAACACAAAAATGCATAAATGTATTATAAAACATTTATATACTACTTTAATTCTTCACAATCAATACCAATAAGTTGGAGCTGGAACTCGATCTTCTTTGATATTCATTTCATCCATTACATCCATTTCAAATGTTTTCAATAAAGGCGAAAACGTTATTTTTTTAATATCATCTGCTGTAGTATCTTTTTCAGATTCTAAAAACAAAGCATACTTATATTAAAATAAAAATTGATGAAAAAAAGTCATCCAAACAAAATAAAAATAAAAATTTGCTTGTTTCAAATGATTCTACCAGTGCTTGTTAATGCATTTTTAAATTATGCAGAGGTGAACTAGTAAGAAAATGCATGTGATTTTAAAATAAATATCAATAGAATATAATACATCTACAATAGCATATATCTAGATGTATCATTTGTAAGTGCTATTGTTGTAAGACTATATATTTAAATAATATATCTCTGAAATAGTTAACTAGAATCCAAATAAATCTAATTTTATATATGCTAAATAAAATGATTGATTAGTGACTGTATAATTTTTTTTATAGATTTTCTTATTCTAAATCTACCTAACATAGTAACATAATAAGCAAACCTTTATAAGTATTTGGTGTTTTGTAATCATAAGTTTGCTTTGCTAATGATGGAATTGGAATTATCTTTCCACTTCTAGAAGACACTCGTACTTTATCACCACTCTCCGTAAATCTCCATTCAACAGTACAACCTTGCCTAAAATTAACAAAATATGAATTTAATCAAGTATCTAAAATGAAGCAAAATGTTTATACTCTATTTCACGAGAGAACATGCCAGATCTGGGAATGTAGAATGAGGTCTATCAACCGTCCGGACTGTCATATCTCCTCCATGAATCCTAATTTTGATGACAACGTCACAACGACCAACAGTAGTGCACAAGACAATTGTAATTGTCTGCCGTCAATGTTGAATGGCACCCATACAACTGTGTGTTACCTATCTATTATTTAGTGGGTGATGTGCAGACCCAACTAGCTTTTGTTTTCAAGCGGCATGTTTTCTCATGTGAGAGAGTATAATAACTTAATTATTTAAGTGAAAAGTTTACTCACAAGTCTGATGGATCTACTAATGACACCTCGCTAGTGACTAATAGTGGATTTTCTTTCATTTGAACCATTGACAAATGCCCTTTACAGCGAGAAACTTCTTCTAATTCACAATTTAAACCCTCAACAATCACCCAATTGAGCTCTTGAATCACATGTCCAACAATTCCCTGTTTTCCTTTATCAGGTCCAACCAAAATTTCAACCTATAATAACATACATATTATGTACCTAATCTGTATTTCTGTGGTAATTTTAATAACTATAATTTTTTCAATACAAACCCTGTCTCCTTTAAAAATTGACCATTCTTTAATCGGTTCCAAAAATACTTTTGGCTTCAAATCGCCAAAATTGTTTTGACTACTAAATGGCATAGACCAAGGCCTGTGGTCGGAAAAATGATATTTTTTCTTTTTAACAGTCCTTGGTAAGTAACGAGGATTGTTTTGTGGCGTTTTCCATACAACCTACGGCGAACACTTTCATTAACGGAATTTCCTATTTCTTCTCATTTGCACTTACCTTTTCCATGCTACGCTTGATGTATGAATCTGGGAAATTCGCATACTTCTTCGTCAGTTCTCCAACTTTTTTAAAGTCTCTCAGACAATCCGTTAGCCTCATCGTGTAGTGTCGTTAAACAATACCAGTAAAACCTAGAACCTACGACGTCCTGAACCTGTGTTTCGTACTTGGGTTTGGGTAATATGAGTTAAATGTATAAATATTAGTATATTACTATTATTTATTATCAACAAAAAAAGTTGTGATAAAAAAACTTTAAAAAGTAATCTTGGATCACATAACACAATCAAAAAATCTGTACTTGGAGTAAAGAACAACGGACGTGGCAAGGAAACCATTTCTACTAATTGTCTGTGCTACTTGTTGATTAAATTTCCGTGATAAGCGATTAAATCACTGATAAAGAGATTTAGCAACAACAAAAATAATTTGTTATACTTTCGAATCGTAACAATAATAATAATAATTGAAATAACTGTAAAGTAAACGAAGAACCGACTTCCACTTCTCCAAAAAAGTAAAAATCTACTATAGAACACTGATCGTTATCTCGCGTTAGTGCTTTTTATTTTTTACTCGTCATTTTGAATTATTGACATTTGGCTGTTTTTCGACTGTAATAGTATAATCCAATGGTTGATATTATTTGTCCAATTCATTTGTAGGTCTGAAAAATGTTCAAATACGTCGACACACATTTTTCTGACTAAAGCAGTGTAATGCTTACATTCGTCTGTGAATGTCATTACTGGACGTTGAGGAACGATCTGACCATCAGCTACACAGATTTTAGTCACTTCAAGTACGTACGAGAAATTATTTCGTCAATTTCGCACTATTAAAACTGATTATTTTAATTGCATTTCTGTGGGTTTCCCATTTTAATCTATTGTGTGATGTAATTTCGTTAATGTTTAATATCTGTGCAGATATAATGAGAAAAAAGAAACTGAAACGTCTACAGACAAGAACATCAAGAAAAACTATGTTGAAGCGATTGGATGTAATTGGTCAGTGTCTAATAAGAGGCCGTTGAAATTGAGAGATTCATTAAAATATTTTGAAGTGAGTAACCATAATGTACTATGTCTTGCAAATAATTAATATTTTACACCTTAATATTCAGTCTGAACTAAATGACCATCATTTGATTAATGTTGAGTGGATCAAAAAAGATAAAATTGCGTTTATAATTAGTAATGGATCAACTATATTCGTTACATTTGATCCTGCTACTTGTGATATAATCGAAATTGTTACGGATAAATTTTTGCAATCAAAATTTCAATGCGAACAATTATTTAATGGTATGTCATGACTCTTGACATTTTTTAACAGATTTATAGCTAAATATATTATTTTATAGTATCATATGCAAAACAAGTACTGTTATGCTCATTTTCGGATCATAAATTGGGCATTATACATTTTGGCCGTACATTTGATCGCACACTGAACAAATGGTCCTTTCTAGATCCAAAAGTTGGATTGGCTGATTTTAGCAATTCTACTACTAATAGAAAAAATGAACGAAAGATTACATTTAATGTATCAGCAACAATGGTGGCCACTTGGTCCAAGTCATCATTAAATGAAGTTTATCCTTGGAACCCATTGGTGAAAGATGAACATAGAGCTAACGTTCATGTGTATAAAATCATTGGGTAAGATCTGTATAAATATAGACGTTATATTTGTAAGTTATATTAGTACAGAATCTACAGATATAAAAATGAATACCTTCCAACCTTGTAACATAATTATTACTACACATTTTTGTTTAGACCTCGACTAGAACTTTGTTGCTATTACCATACCAAACAAGATCCTATTATTGTATCATTTAGTAAAATAGTATCAAATATTATATTCATTTTGGAACAGAAGGTGAATTGTTCTTTTTATAATTAAAATAATCATCAAAAATGTATTATTTTTTTAATAATGTTTTTTATGTTTATCAGAATTGCAATGACCCTCGTCTCGATTTTAGTACATTTGAAGTAACCAATACAAAATTACATCTTGTCAAGGTAGTGACAATTAGTCCATTTGATTGGTGTTCTGCTATCATAATAAATGCCTGGTTAAACAAAGATGACACACGTTTATGTTTCTCATACAATGATTCTATACTGTTTATCCACGATTTCAAATTATCTATCACGTGTTCAGTAAAAACAGCTTTTGTAAGTACTTTGGTTTTTATTTTTTTTAAACTACTATTAAAACAATTTAAAAAAAGTAGTATTTAAATAAATTACCATAGAAAAGACAACTTTTAACTTTCATTAAAATGAATAGTAAATTATATTATAATAAGTTATAATTTTTTAATAAAAGTTTTTTACATCATATTCACCATATTTTACTAAAAGTTCTTATGGATTCTACACATTAGAGATACGTGCATTCATCAGCAATTATTGTCATTATCATATGTTACATATGTATTCAAATATACAATAATCATATAAAACAACAAAATCTTAAACCCAATTTGTATTTTAAAAAATGTAATTAAATGTCAAATTATGTTGACTTAAGAGACATATGAATACACATGTTCAAAACTCAATTTTACAATAAATATTTTATTGCAAAGTGTTTGTTACTAAGACTCGTGTATTTTAAATTAACTAGCCTGTGGAGTATTTGGATTGGCATCCAGATGGTAATGTGATCGCTGTATCAGATAGTAATGGTAGAATACAGTGTTATGATTCGTGCTTGTCGTGCATTCGTCTACAGCCATTGACAGAAGAAACAAATTCATCGGCTTGGTTAGATTTTCAATCCAAAGTTGGGATCAAAAAACTTTTCTCCTTGAAATGGATGCCTTATGAAACGACAAAACACCCTATACACCAATATGATGCAGTTCTTCATCTCATATTTGAAAAGTATGAATATTTTTAATATGTTTGATCTGTTTAATTATGATAATATACATTTAGGGGCCCTGTGATTGCCATTAAAGTACTTGGAGTTGGGAAGTTGTGTGTAAATCAATTGGTTTCCATGTATTTAAATGAAAATGATGTCGATCACGCTCTAAACTTTCTACTGGGGCTAGATTGGCATTCTGATGGGCCACTATGTTTAACAACCTTACAACAAATTACAAATTATTTATTTCGTTTGTCATTTACTCCTGTAAGAGAAGGTAATGACTATTAACATAAAGTAACCATTTATTCTAATTATTTCTTAAGTTAAATATGAAAAAAAAAATTAGTTACTAGGTCCTGTAATAATTTTATATTATATTTACAACAGTGCAATTACAATCTGCAATTGGTAGTTTCTACCAACCTGTTAAACCATTAAGTGAAGATGCCAAACATGAATATTTTGAACCTGTTCGGAATATTGCACGCCGATTTTTTCATCATTTAGTGAGGTGTTTATGAATGAAATTATTAATTACAGTTTGCGTTTAAAATAATTTACCAATAAATTGTTGATACCAGGTACGAACTTTATGAAAAAGCATACAGTCTAGCCATTGATTTGAATGACAGAGATTTGTTTATGGATCTATATTGGGCTACAAAATCAGGGATTGGCACTAGAGCTATGGCAACCATGGCATTGGAAAAAGCAAACCAAATTGTGTCATCAGAATCAGACGATTCACATTCTAGTCAATCATCTGATTGTGATTGCACAGACTGTCATTCAAATTCCCCGTCCAGCTCATTAAGGCCACCTTTACCAAATGTGCCCATTGCAACATCTTCTCCAACATTATTCATTCCATCTATATCAAACAACATATCCCTGAATAATGTTACAACTATTAGTGTACCCGTATGTGACAGTTTTAAATAAAACCATCACTTTTAAAATAATTAACTTTTCTTTTTTATTCTAGTATACAGGCTCCCGTGTTGAACATGTTCATACCAAAAATATAGAACTACCAACAACTTCATTGGATAGTGTGCCACACTTAAAATATCCTTTTGAACAGCAATTACTCACACAAAATACTCGTCTAGGTTTGTATTAAATATTTAGCTAATTATTCAAATAATTTATACTTTGTTATAATTTAATGTTTTAATTTTTTTTATGTTGATGATAATAACAATTTAGAAAATAATAATCAACAAAGTCAAATTACAACTAAACCGCAACCTGATAAAACCATTAAAGTTGTCCATTTTGGTATTGTATGATCTTTTTTCATCAAAAAAATTTAGATGTAAATAATAATAAACACAAGTATAGTATTAGTATTAGTTTAAACTATAAAGACTGCCTAAATTTACGTTATGGATCAATTTTGAATTGGTCATAATCAGGCTCGAATTTATGTGTAAGCACATGCTTGTTTATTAAGTAAAGTTTGACAACTTTGACAATGCCGTCCATTCAATTTAATTTACATAAATACTCATTATGGTGGTTTGGTATTTATTTTATGAAATATATGATTTACCTTTAGGCTTTTATTTTGTTTTTCTTGCCAATTGTACCAAATTAATGCCATATTAATATATTATATTCTATTGTTAAAATATATTTTGTTCATTATAATATTATTGTTAAAAATGTTTATGTAATAGTTATACTATTGTTACACAGTTTATTTAGATAACTCAACTATCATTTTTAAACCAAATTTATTGTTTAATAAAACATTTATTTTTATACCAGTATTATAAACAATTTTTTTTTTAATTGGAAAGTGCATATTTTACTATACTCCTTTCCTAACTTGACCGTTTGGTGTTTGTTGAATGAGCCCCATCCAATTTGTTTTCCGTTGTGAAATCCCTTCAACGCAATCAATTACCACAATAAAACGGTAAGCGACCAGTTTTGTTTGAAACACGGTCCCATTCTCTTTTCCAAGAGAGAATGTTACTTAAACATCTCAAAATACAGTAGAATCCGCTTTAATGATCTTGGGGAAACCTAGAGAATCAGAATTTTGTATCCAAACTTTGTTACATCTGGATGACAAAAACATTACTGCACATGTAAGCATTGACCTTTTATAATTGGTCAAAGCGTGTAAGATATAAAACCATCCAAATACTTGGCTATAAATTGTTTTATCTGAAATGTCATTATATTATACAGCATTCTAGTAAAGTGATTCTACTGTAATTTATGTTTGCATTTTATGATTCTATTCCAATCTTTAGACCACACACCTATTGAGTATCAATGCAACATTCAAAGTTCACAAATCATTTTGAATAACTTACTTGAAAGCTCATGTTAGATATCTAAATTATCAGTATTCCCTAATATGTTTAGTTTTTGGGATGTTAAACATTAGTCATTATGGTGATTTTCATATTGATTACCATTTGGGAGCAACTAAGCACTGAAAGACTGAATAAAATTGTTTAAACCAAGTTTTTTCATGAATACAAGCGTTTACCGTACATAAAAAAAAATGCAATATTTAAAATTTCATATTATATTACTTACAACATAATAATATTTAGGTACTACATAATGTTATAAATTTAACAATAAAAATAAGTATTTCGGGCTCACTTTTTTTTTTTTGAGCCACCCATTTCTTCAAGTTGATCTTTCAATATTTTCAGTTCATTATCAGGTATATATCTGAGAATTTCATGTTCATCTGTGTGCTTGTGAATTGATGCCTTAACACCCGCAGGTAGTGAGTCTTCTATTACTTCAATAAGTAAGGAAAGCTTAGTAGTGGGGACATCAACCACCTAAAAAAAATAGGCAATATGTGATAAAAAGAATAAAATGTAATACACTACATTTCACGTTCATACTTGTATATTGCGTTCATATACATTTAACGTGTATTGGGCCTCTACATTATCGCTGTTAGGCACCAATCGTTTGACATTTATTGTTTGCGGGGGTAATGCCCACCTAAAATAAAATATTGAATGGTATTATATTGTATAGCTGTTATAAAACTAATCAAACTAGTAATCACCCATCAGATACTTCAAGGTCCATATTTTCTGCAACTGTGTGCACAAGTTTTTGAAACGATTCTAGTATAGCGAAGTCGTAACCTTTGATTTGAATATTTACTTCCTCATATTCAGGAATATCTGGCTTTAATAGGTCTAAATACTCTGGCTCGTAAATACTACCATAACAACGAACGGTTGGTACACAGATCTTAGCTGATTTAAGAGATTGTAATCTAGCTATCTTGAAACATTGTTGTGCCTGCAAAAATAAAAACATTACAAAATTATAATTAAACAATAAGTGTTCGATACTTAAACATTTGCAACACAAACGTATACAGTACATAATAACCTTGATATTTTCAGTGGAACCTAGCACTTTATAGTTCATTTAAATTTTGTTTAAAATTAATACATAGCATACCTAATACCGTTCTAATAAATTTCATGCTCTGGTTAAATATGTTTAATTTAATTTATAATTTCAATACATAAATTAGAACAAAATATTCAATTGTCAAATAACTCCAGTACAGAAACTCTACACTAGTTTAACCGAATAGATTGACAGACAATTAATACAAATGAAAGTATACATACCAGACACTTTGTCACAAACATATTGATCCTTTTAGAGACAAAAATATTGACCAGAAAATAAAACTATTTGTACGTGACGAAAAAAAAAGAAATTCACAATATTTATTACCTATGTAGTTATAAATTATTAAGTGTTCAGTTAATTGCTTAAATTTATTTTTACTCGACGACCGGCAATGACTAAAATATCATTTTTCTAGATGTACGGTCCGCTAGCAATATTTGATAAGAGAATTCAAGAGTTCCCAAAAACAATTGCTAAACGTCAATTTGTATACAAAGTTGCCTACCTTAATCCTGAAAATCTATTGCTAACGTTCAATTGTGTGTTTATTTTATTGCCTATCCGATTACCAAATACAATATACCTTATTGCTATATTATAGGTATTAGAGATTCATACTTCATACATTTAGACATTTAGTACTTATTTGACTGTAAGAAAAATGTATTGCCGCTGTTCAATTTCTTTATTTATTAGCTTATTACACATCCAATTCTCGAAGAAATATATTGCTGTAGTATCAACTACCTAGTGATTAATATATCATCTTTGTGACTTAGTACATTTAGAGCAAACTTACACTTTTACCAAATATATTTCTACCGTTCAAAATGAAATATTTTTACATATTTTTAATTATTAAATGGTATTGTATATTTATGTTATACTAACTATGTTGTAATAAGTATACAAAATTTTTAAAGATTTTCCATGTTAAACACTGGCTTTAAATCTGAATAGATGATACATCGGTTATCGGTAGTACTTTTAAGTAGTAATTATAACTAGGTACATAATATGACTTATCAGTTATCCATGCGGAATTCTTTCGATCAACTCGATTGAAAATAAAATTTATATTAAATTTAGTACTCTAGTATATTTGATAAAGTTACTCACGTTTTTAAAAGTGAAACATAATTTTTCATAATTAATTTTGAATAAAAATAAAAATATTTAGTAATTTTTGTGTTTGAATGGGAAAAAAAATATTAGATAATCATGAAAATGTGTGGTTTTTATATTATTTATTCGTTCTAAAGAATCTAAGTTAACTTTATATTGTCTATTTTAAAATGAAAATATATATTGAAAGATATGCACAGAAACATGAGAAATTGGTGATATAATAATATAATATACAATGCGGTTTTATACCTACAAATCTTAAAAGGGATTTATATTTATATGTATTTTGTAAGCTACCTAAAAAAATTCATAGTTACGTAGTTGTATTGAAATTTCCCTTCAATACTTACTTAATCATCATGATTTTAAATAATTTTCAAAATTGAATTCAAAATATTTTATAATGATGATAAACTAAAATGCTTTCATAATATTATCATGTTATTTTTTTTTTTTATCTTATTTGCAATAGGTGCCTACAATAATATAGTAATTGGTTTTTTTTTTGATTTTTTGCTGAGCGAATTTAAATCATACGAGTAGGTACAATTAATGTACATTAGTACATTTCAACTAGATTCAAAATGCATTTAAATTAAGTCAAGTTTTAATATATTATAAGGTATAGGCTATATTGCTATAATAAATAATAATGAGGACTTAAAAGGACTGGAATAATAAATCAACAATAAATTTAATAATACGTTAATTCACTCTAACATAAAATAAAACAGAGTTAAATGGATTATTCAGAAGTTACAATTTGGTATGTTATCCGATAGCGTCGACTCCTTTCAGAAAATTGTCAGGAGCTTGCGGGAGGACGGTGCCTAGCCGGTGCATTGCTTGGCACCCGAAACCGCTTAAGGCCGGAATTAGACATTTTTTTAAAAATACAGTAATCATTTTGCGTCGGTCTAAGTAGAATGAAAATCTCCTAACCTAACCCCCCCCCCCCCTAAAAAAAATCCTGGCTACGCCACTGATTTATACCCAATGATTTTTCCCATAATTGCTACGCATTTTTGAGTACACCAAAAGTACTGCAATTATCGTTTTTGGTACAAAGAGGAATACAACAATTCTAATTCATTTTAAAAACAAAATATTTAAAAACGGTTTTTTTTTAATAGCAAATCAACGGAATTCCAACGATGATTTTACGATTATATAGTGTAGGTATCTTAAACACAAGTACACAATATATATTATATTATAACAAAAATTTTTCATAATAATTCGTCATGAAAAGCGCGGGGTAACATCGATGATAATATAGTACAAAATAATTCCGATAGCATCGCTAGTGATTAGTTGGAACAGCTGATTTGTTCAGAAGATTTGGGCTTAAAGATATGCAATTGTAAACATCGGCCGACTCCCAACCTGTAAATCTTTGATCTTGCGTATTAGCAATATTAACATGAAATTATTTCTGAATACTAACTAGTAACTACTGACCCACGACTGTCTAGACACGTCTTGTACATTGCCTATAAACTATTTAAATCTATTATTGTTCTGTGATTATACTCTAATTGTACTCGCACTAGTCATTCCTTAGTAGTTAGTACTTGATTAAAAACACATCAGAATATCAAAATCTGTCATACTGTTGAAATGTTGTAAAGGTAGCCTGTAACTTTCAAAATAGTGAAAAGTAAATTAAATATCGATCACATAGGATGGCGTCTGTGTACAGTTCAGAAACAATTGATGATGTCACAGATATCACTGAAAGTTTGAAACAGTTGTCTGTTGCCAGAGCCCAAATTAATTCATTGAGGTATGTAGTAGATACTGTGTGCTCTATATTAAAAGTTATTGTTGTTATTTTCTTTATTAGAAAACAGAACGAGTCTTTAAAAAAACAGTTGAAAGAAAAAGATTTGATTGCTTCAAATGGACCAAGCACATCCAGCAGCTCTGAAAAAATAGAACTATCCATTATAGGAACAATAAAAACAAAATTTAAAGAACGTAGATGTGTACCTCGGCAACCTGGTCTCTGCCCACTAGCCCAAGCTTGTCTGACAATTTCCAACTCTATATTCACTAATCCTAACCACGCTCTTGAAGGCCTCTCAGATTTCTCTCATATGTGGTAATTTAAATAAGTTATTCTTATTACCCCAGATCAAACGTTAAATATTCAATAAATATTTCAGGATTTTGTTTCATTTTCATAAAAATGAAACCACTCATGTTCATGCTAAAGTATCACCACCCAGATTAAATGGATTGCGAACTGGTGTACTTGGCACTAGATCTCCACACCGACCCTCACCAATTGGTTTGTCTCTAGTGCAAATTGATAAAGTTGAAGGTAACTTTAAAAATATGTTTATAAATACCTAATATTTTTTATTTAAAAAAAACATTATTTATTATCTGTACAAGATGTATAATAATTAAAAAGTAAACGGGAATAAATGTTAGGCATGATTGGGAAAATCATTGAACCATAGCTCTTAATATTTACTTATTCTAGAAATAGTTTCATTTGACCTTTTTTTTAAAATCTTAAAAAAACTAAAGTATTCTAAAAGTTAAAAGTATTTTGGTTTTTTTTAAATTTCAGGAAATTCTGTGTATTTTTCTGGTGTCGACATGATAGATGGTACTCCAGTTCTCGATATCAAGCCATACATTCCACATTATGATGCTCCAGCTACCCTCAGATCTGACCAACAAGTTTCATTATTTGATAATGGTTCACATCAAATACTATTAGATCCATTGACATCTGACCGAGAAGCACCTGACGGAGAGGAAACTGATGCATATGATATGCCTCTTTCCCCCCTACACACAAGAGTATAATATTTTATTTTTAAAACAAAGAATACCTATTATACTTGTGAACTAGTGATGAGAACAATCAAATAATTTTAATTAATAGTAATCAAAAGGTGGTTATAATCGAGAGTTTGAATTTCTATCAGGTAATCAAGATAAAAATGTGTATTAGAATCAATCAATTATTCTAATGGGCATATATCCTAAAATTCTGGTTCATTAATACTTGTTCATCATTGTTGTGTACGTGTATTTACTGATGGTCTGTGTTGCTGATGTTTATTTTCGATCAATGTAAAAAAAAAAAATACTTATCTTATAAATATTAAATTACATTATATAAAGTAAAATGCTTTTGTGTTGTTTTGACTGTCTTTGTTATCATAATTTTTTCGTTATATTTCAATCAATTTTTAATTATTCGTAATTTCAATATTGTTGCTAATATAGAAAGAATCACTCAATGCATTTTTGAAAGAATAATCATCAATGTAATCAAATAAAGGAGGGTTTTGATTATTTTCTCTAGATTGTTCTCATCGCTGTATTGACTCTGATTGAAGATCCACACTCACAACAGTGGTAAAATAAGTCTGGTCACAATTTACCACTATTGCTGCAGTGTGTGGAGACCTTTATGTTTGCTTCAATATAATAACCAATAACTAATACATGATTTTAAGTGAATGTTGTACCCGCATGTGTTGTCTCCGTCATACTGAAGCATAATATATCAAAATATATGTCCAGCTGTTCCAATTTTGTGGTGTTAGCTTTAATATTGGAGTGAATTTACCTATTATAAAATTTAAAGGTAAAATTATTATCTTGGACACAACGTTTGTACATTTAAAAATAATCATAACTTACCTACTTAAAAATAATATTATTAAAAGCATACGTTCTGTCATAATAATAATTTCACCTTAAAACTTTATAATGGGTCAATTCTTTCTAGTTTTAAAAATTACAGAGTAAAATGGATTATTGTTAATGTACAATTTGCTATGTTGTACGTTTGTTAGGCAGATCCAACACATGCAGGCGCCACTTAAATTTTAATTATAACAATTATTTTTAAATATATATTTGCATATAATCTTATCAATAAAAGTAATAATGCTATGCAAATCAGTCAGTAATGTAGAAGCAGTTCTTTTTGCTCTTTTTTGCACTACTAGTACACCTCAATATTGGAAAATGTAGATAAGTGTGTGCTATGAAACAAAATGTATCAATATTTAGAGTGCAAAATACAAATATTATACATTATTTTATTCTTCAAATAATAAAACAAATTTTGGTGATGAGTATTAACTTAATATTTTATATTTGTATTATGCAAACACATTCTATACTAGTTTAGCCACTTCAAAGTTTAAATGCCTCTTAAAATTAATTTTAATTTTCTCCGTTAACTACATTTTTTTTGCTGTGGGCAAATAAATATCTTGGATTAATTATCAATACAAAATGTATTACTCTGATAATCATAAACTTAATTTCTTTTTTAAAATTAATAGGTCAGAGTACCTCTGTGGATTACTGAACCACTGATGCAACAACTAACAGTGGAGTTCTCGTCAAGAGCAAGAGAATTTTTAAACTCATTGGATACTAATGATATTGAAGTAACTATAGTAAGCATATTGAAAGAAGATCCTCGGTCGGTTTATGTCCGCGAACGTTATAGTAATCAGTTTTATACATTCTTAATTGGAGGCTATCATGTGAGTTGTAAGTTTGATGATACTAAACACACAATAAGTGTCTACAGAATATCATACGTTGATAGTATGGAGAATGTAGCTGATCAAGAAGGAGCCCAATGTTTGTCTATAGGTTAATTCATGAATAATTAATATTAATTTTAACTTTTATATTTTTTTTTACAATTATGTTCCTCTTTTACGTCTATCCCTAATTTGAAACATTATTATACCATTTGTAAAATAGTTATTGTGTGTGATAGTGTGGTATGAAAATTGATCTTATTGTTTTTCATACTATACAAATGATTAACTATAAACTTAAGTAGTTAGATGAAATCTTATGACTGTTATCATTTTTAATTTTAATATATTATATTATTATGATTGTTTTCTTTTCCTTTTTAATTGATTGTGATTAATAATTATTTAATAATAATAGAGTAGTAAATAGTAATAAACTAAATATTATAGTGTAGGTATTGATTTAAAAGATAAAATATATAAGTGTATAAACGTGACATTATATACTAGTGATGAGAATATAAATAATTTTAGTGTATTGCACTATTACCTATATGCCTTAATGGCCCGTATTATAAAATATGTAAAATATTAAAATAGAAATATTTTACATTCATTAGTATTTGGTATTTAATTATCATAATTAAATTAAAGTCAAATTTTCTTATTAAAATAGTATTTCTTACTTCGGTTCAATATTATACTAGCTTTTCCAAGTTTTGTATTTCTAATTGTAATTTTATTTTAACCTTACATGTCTTTTTATATTATATTTCTACATTCATAATTATAATTCTTTAAAAATAAAAAAAATGTATGTATTAAATGTTCATTATAACTCTATTCAAGTTCTTACACATATTTGGCCAAAAACCAGTTTTTGTCCGACTCAGGTCAGGCAATACCAATTGCCCTCACATAATTATTGGCCATATGCCTGTTGTGTTTATTTAACTATCACAAGTTGGCCACCGAGTATGTTTCTTAACTTGAATAAACGTATAGTTAATATAATATGTTGAATTATAATTTTCTTGTTTAATTAATTGTAACTAAGATTATACAAAAAACTAAATTCTTCTCCCAAAATACAAATGTCCATTGATAATATTAATATACAACTTAGGTACCTATTAAATAGTTTTCATTTTTTTTCTTTTGAATGGATGTTATTTTTGATTTAATTTGTCAACTGGTAATGGGTACTACCCCCAATATAGTCAAACATAATTAATAATGTACAAGTATCAGTATGACCATAGATAAAATAATTGGCTGCTGCAGCAGACTCAAAAGATCAAAATACAGTATAACTCAAATATTGCTATTGAGTAATGAATACAATAATGCCCTCAAAAATATTATCCCTTGAAATGTGAGAAAACTGCTTAATCAGAACTTTTATTGACATCAAGAATATGACCGGTATAATATAATCTAAGGTTGATGTGTAATCAAACATCGTAATAGATCAAGTATGAAAGATTTCAATTTACCAGCATAAAATATAAAGCAATACCAAGGTTAGGTTTGTTGTTTAACCACCGTGTGTAGATAAACAATAGGTATAAAATATTAATGTCCATTTTATAATATAGTAATATAATTAATTGAAAATACATTTGAACCATTTGAATAAATACGTATAAATCTTAATACTTTATTAAGTAATAATACCGGGAAAATATTTTTAAACACATAAAAAAACAGATTGCATAAAACTAATTACACTCCAGATTTTGTTTCAACAACAGTTGAAAAAAAATACAATTCTAATAATAACCAAATAAAAGTTCCCAAACATACAACAAGATAAGCCACCATGTTATTTTTTGTGTTGACCTTATAGGAAAACGAAAAACTATGGTAGTCCACCTTGTGTATGAACTTTCACACAAATAATTGACCAAAAAATACCAGGTATTTCATACTACTAAGAGTTTTCAATCTGGTGATTTTTCTAATATGGAGTCCATGCAGAAAAAGAAAATATAAGCTCAACTTTTCCCAACATAGATGGGACAATCTAAATTGTTTTTAAAACCAGAAACAAAACAAAAACAGATTCTGTATGGACCTGGGATAATATATTATCTAAAAACTTTGATATTATTACAGTCTGTTCATGTCTTGTAGTGGGATCCCGGATATGTGTATGCATGTAGAATTAATGAGAACTGGTACTAAACACTGACAATAGAAAGCAAATTATTCAAGGAAAATAAGTGACAGAACTATTTGGTCTTTTATAATGTAATTAGTATTAAGTTAAATATGTGTTTAGGAATATATTTATAAATATGGATAATAACCCGTCGAGGACCAAATCATACTGTTGATAATGAAAACTTTGTAGAAGTATTCCAAACACAGTTCCCATAAAACAGCCATAATAAAACCTTAAAAAATGAGTTTTACTTATTGTATAAATTAATAAATTAAAAATTCTTTCACATAAAAAAGTTGCAAGACTAGACACTACAATTTGGGAAATCTTCACATAAAAAGTTTGAAAAACACTGAAATCCAATAAATATTTTTCAATCAAACAAAATTTAAAAAAGAGCATTATCTCTAATTTCTGAACCAACTGTAATTTTGATTATACATTATTTGGTCATTAATTTTGACTTTCAAAGAATTGGTCATGTTTAGCTTTGACATTTGATACTATTAAATCTTCAATCTCAATTCCTTTTTTGACGTCTGCCTCAGTCAATAAAATGTCTTCAATTACACCATCTTGAGCTATTAACTTGACATTATGTTTCCTTGTGTGTAGTAAGTTCCCAATCACAAGCTATAAAAAATGATTTTGATTATAAAAAAAATTGTGAAGTTTCGGAATATATATACTAAAAAATTAATTTTGACATAATAGATAAATTACAATTGATCACAGAGGAAATATAATATTTTAAACTCACTTGATGCTTGTATTTAATAAGAGCCCCTTTGGCTTTCTCTTCTAAAATCTCATTATCAGTCTCTAGTTTGAATGAAATTATGTATGCATTTGGAGCCCAAATATGAGTAACAGCGTATAAAACTTTAGGTACCAGTCGTAAGGCAATAACTGGAGGTCCATCTTTGGATTGAACTTTATGTTCAGCCTACAGCATGAAAATCATTGTTATTAAAATATAAACTATACGATATGCATATTTAAATAAATATCATGCATCAATAAATCATTAAATATTTCTTGCATTAAATGGAAATAAAAATTTAAGCACGCTGTTCTTGGAAATATACTTTTTTAATAGTTCATGCAATAGCATAATATATTAATATATGTGAAAAACATACCATTTCATTGGGCGGTATATAGAAGTCTGAAACGGCAGCAGCTAAATAAAGTAGAGAATACTTGGTATCCATAAGCATGCAAGAACCTCTCAACAACCACATATACTCTATCAATGTAGTGAAAGGAACTGTTAGGATTCTGTTATCATTTTTAGCATCTTTGTACTTCTTCAGTATTGGGAAGAGCGTATCAAGTTCACTTTCTTTCACTGAAATAATAATAATTATAAATGATCAAAAAACTCTAGTGAACAACTTTTACCTTGTATTGATTTATTGTCTACAATCTCCAATTTATCTAATAGTGAATTGTTGAAATGACGAACAAATGGCTCCAATGAATTTGAACTAGAAAATAAATAATAATGGTATAGAGAACTATAGACTAATTAAAACTAAAGTACCAATGAATTAGTAATAAATTAGAGTTTACCATTAAATCAATGATATTATTCAAGTAAAAAATGTAAATGATTAATAAAATTATATAAACAGTAGAACCTTATTAATTTGGTCTAATTGGGGCTCTAGGTTGTCCAAACTAATGAAAGTCCGAATTATTCAAAAAAAACCTAAAAAATGTATTATTTATTTGAGAAATATAAAACTTATTTAGTATATAAGATTTATTGCAACAAAGTATAAGGCCTTACAAAATACATAATAACTAGTTATTCCGATTATTTTCTTTTAATACTTATAATATATATTATTAAATCGCTGTCCAGATTAATGAGGTTCTTCTGTGTATGTTATAGATGTTTTAGTTTTAGAATTAAATTAATGTCTATTATGACATTAAAATATTGCAAATTAATTAATTTTTATAATTTCCAATTATACTTATTATAATATAATACTTAATATTTTATAGGTAAGCATTGTTTTACAAAATTCATTGAAAAATTAAAGATATTAAAAGAAACTACAAAAACAAAAATTTGAGCAATCATATTTTATATTATACATAATATTATGAGCTATAAAAATTGTTTTAAAAAAAAAATTACAATCAATTATGATTTAATAGTAATCTCTTATACCCATCTCTAACCACATATACACATTAATTGCTGATCACAGCACAGAATATAAAAATAAGTTAATAAATACAAAATGAATCACAAAATAACAAATATGCAATAGCAGGAAAAATTCAAAAATGGGCAACTATGACATCTCAAGTTTTTAAATTAATGTTTTGAATCTTAAAATAATGGATCCAGAACCCTTATTTCAATATTCTACAAACCAAAACCTGGATATTTCTGGTGAACCGGACTATATTTTCTATGGCTTTAATCATATTAATTTGTTATTTTTTTCAACTAAGCATAAATTATACTAAAATTTATAAAAATCAGTATCTACAGGAACAGATATTTTGATTAACCAGGATCAAAATATTGGTTTTCCCTAAGAACCATACCAAAATCGGAAATAAAATGTTTTATTTTTCTAGGAACCTAACTGAAACCAGAAAAATCATAATAGTTCCAACCCCTGAATAGCAGAACAATTAATAATTAACAAGTTTACTTACCGATAAAGAAATATAACAACATATCCAGCATCAAGAAAATATTCAGCAGAAGCAGAACCTCTAGTTCCTAGACTAAAATTGTCAACGAAGCGGACAGTATTTTGTTCAATTGGAACTGTAGTTCCTCCAGACTATATAAAGGAATTTTATTATTATTATTTTTAACACTGTAAATTCCTTTAAAATATGTTGATTGCTAATATTGCTAATGTCTCAAACAAAATTACTTTCTCTTTAATTTAAATTCAATATCATGAAATTTTTATTTTTACCTGTAACATAACAAGAGTGTTATATCTGAAAAACAAAACTATGAAATTGTATAGTATATACCTACTATCTACTGAAGTACACGAAATTAAGGATTAAAAATATATAATTTATGGCTTTAGATTTCATTATAAGAAGGTGTGCCATACAAATATTGATAATTATTTGGAAATAGCACTTAATAAGTTGAACTAGCCTACACTCTTTTAAGAACCTATTTTATTCAAAAAATGTACCAATACTTGTACATGTTTTGATACTGTCATGGAGCAAAAGGGTTAATAATTGTCGATCATTTGATTAAGCTACATATTTTGTTCATAACAAGTACAAGACAAAAATTAATTGAGATACTTTGGATGGTTAATAAATAAATATTTTTTTAGTAATTTATTATTTGTTATCAAAATTAAATGAATAAAATTCAACTCGTATTTATTATTACATTTTGGAGATATAAATAATATAATATGTATTATTAGTTATTACCTATTATTACCATTATGTAAGTAGCTATACTTACAGTTATCAACACCATTTTTTTGTTTTCATGGCTGCAAACAAAATTTTCAACACTGGTTATAGTAGATTCATAGTTTGAAGGAGAAGGATGAGTGTCATAAAATGATTCCCAATCCATTTTTGTTAGTAATTGTAACCTATGAATACAAAGTTTGAAATTTATTTAAATTCTGAAAAATTGAGCAGGTATTGACACTCATAAAATTATCATGATAACTCAACTACTACTATCCTTGAATATTCCTAAAAAAAATATTAAACCTTCAATGAACCCATGTAAGTAATATTACAAATCTTAAAACTTGTTTACAACTAATAACATATGTTGTATAATTAATCTTGAATGCATAAATGAATCTAGTTTTAGATCCTATAATATTGAATTTAGATTATTCTATAAAATATATTATGCCTCTTTCTAAACAAGGGCACCCATCAGGATAGTTCGAGGACCATCTACAGCTTCCCAAGATTTAGAGATTTATCTTATAATAAGACTGTAAATATTATAATAAAAACATAAATTATATGAGAGTATGAAACAAATGTTTGTATAAGTAGCCTAGATATAAATCTTTGGAATGTAATATTTTGATACAAAATCAGAACAGGAAATATTAAATTTCAATAACACAAACTGTGCTCTAGAGCAGAGATTCTCAAACTATGGTACGCGTAGCACTAGTGGTACAGGGAAGACTACATGTTGGTACGCAAAAGGCCACAGAGTGATAGAAAAGAGGGTATATAAATGAATATTTTAAATTGTATTTGAACATGGGCACATGGAAACAGAACAAAAGTGGTACACGATAGATTTATAATACACATGAGTTGTAAACAAAAAAAAAGTTTGAGAACTGCTGCTCAAAAGGATTAAACTGATAGTTACTACTTTTATGTTTTTTGAGATAATTTTATACACCAGAAAATAAAACCCATAATAAATTATATAGATTAAATTTTGTCTATTCTACATTTCAAACAAAATTTAACATAAAACATAGAAAAATTAGATTGATAAAAAAATAGAAGAGCTCAATTTAACAGGAATAACAAATACAATTGAGAAACATCAAAGAAAATAACCCAACTTAAAAAAAATGCAAAAATAATTAGTAATATAAATTTCTAATAGCAGTTTAAACAGTCATTTTTTACTGTTGATAAATAGTTTTGTCCACTGAATTAAAAAATATAAGATTCCAAATTATTTCCAATGTAGTCTGCGTAACTTAGTAACAAGTAACAACTGTTGTAATTGTCACCATGTCACCACTGGTTATGACTTATGAATTATGATCTATACTTAATAGATTCATATACGAAATACCAATTAATATTTATTACATATTATGTAATCACCACAAACTAAGATATACATATATAATATATAGCCATATAGGTACCTTAATTTTTGGTCACTTTTATAAGTACCTAATAAAAACACGTTTGTGTCGAGGTGAGGTATTTGCTGGCATAGCACTATAGGGAGACACTACATCAGTACTGCACTAGGCAGTTAAAACAACTTACTTGTCTGCGTCCAGTGGGTGTGTACTATTACGCTGTTATATATTAATATTTATTACCTATACAACACTATATTGGGATTTCGGAAACTGGTTGTGGTAGCGGGAGAAGGGAACAGGGAAAAGCGGAAAACACTTAGTATACGTACCGGTCGACTTCTGTAGTCTATTCTCTATACAACTGTACGTCTGTACCTGTTCGGCGTAAACGGAATAAGTACTCAAATTACACGATTACGACGACTACCACTTTATTCTCTATTTATACTACAACAGTACAACTACTATAACTACTATATACGACGACGACTAGTCGGCACTCGGCAACAACAACAGGTGTGTCGTCTCGACGGCGTCAAGTTGAGTACCCAAGTAGGTACTTGAACGTGTGGATTTTGGAATAGTTTTTAGATTTAATCTAAAGTGAACACATGGGGTAGGGGAGGGGGCTTGTCGAGCGACAAGACCGTGTCGATAATTCCCACCCACCGGTGCCGTGGCGACGGCCGTCCGTAACGGGATACGGGCCAAGTCGGAGTGTGCGTGTAACGCAGATATCATCTACCACGACAACTACACAGTAAATCTGTGTAGTGTAGTGAGTGTACACGTCACACGACTACTGAGTACAGTCGATAAAAAAAAAGTAAAAAACTCGAACGAAAAGTGAAATTAACCTCCGTAGTCCGTCGTCGTCGGCGGTGGACGGTGGTTTGATAAGAAAACGCCGCTGCGTATGATAACCGCCGCCGTGGGAGAGTTTCGGCGTTTCACAATTCTTTGGACTATTTACATCATCATTGTTATCGGACCGGTGGCCGGGCCAACGGGAACGATTGATTAACGCGCGCACCGAGCCCATTGGCCGGTGGCCGCGATACCGCATCGGGAAATCCGAGCGACCGGGTGATAACGGGACGGCGGCGAACTCCGAACGCCGTACACAACTCGTGCGCGGCTTCGGGCTTATCGATGTGTGTGCGTACACACCACCGATCGCCACCTCCGCCATCAGTCGTAGTCGGTGATAAATGACGAAATAATCGACTGACGAACAGCGAGCCGACCGTACCTTGCCGGCCTGCCAACGGAGACAGCGCCGTATCGCTTGTCGCTGCGGACGAAACGCAAAACATTTGGTGTACGGATCGACGACGTCGACCACCGTTACAGTAGTATACAGTAGTAAGTTGTCCACCAGCCACCGCGCACACCGGCGATCGTGACGCTATCGTCGCACTGCAGTCAGTGGTCGTACGCGTTGTAACTAGTAATTATTGGTACTCGGTAGCACCATAGACGGTGTTGTCTAGTAACTAGTCGGTAGTCACTAGTCGTAGTAATAGTGGCGGCGGCGGCAGCTGTTGAGTGTTTATGTACGTGTTGAGCGTGTGACGTCGCGTGACTGGCAACGAAAACCACGACGACGACGACGACCGCGCGAACCGGCCGGCCGGACACGGCAAAGTCGGCGCAAACCACTGTCGCTGGTGCTACGTAGCTACCAGTTGACGTCGAGTAGCGGCGGGCGTACGGTAGTTGCTCGACCACGGCGACGGACAACCCGGCCGTGACGATGACTCTGCAGGCGATCAAGTACGAGAACGGCACGTTGGAAGTGCTGGATCAACTGCTGTTGCCCAAAGAGTCCAAGTACATACCCATTTTGGGCGTCGAGGACGGATGGAAGGTCATCAACAAAATGCAGGTACGTGGTGTTCAGCTATGTGCCTATGTCCTTCCACCCACCGGTCCCACCAACCCCTCACTACACCCGTCGACGCAGCAGTTTCGGAACTTCACCCCCTTCCACCATGCAACAGGATGTAGACGTGCGCCGACGACCATGTGGGCAAACGCCATGTCAACAGGCCCACCAGTTTTATACAGATATTCAACTATTATAGATAGGTCGGATTTCTAAATTTAGCACCGATTCCGCCACATAATAATAATCCTGATGCCTATCTCTTTTTTTAATCACTAGCCACTCGAATTATATTCTAATCATATATAATATATTCCTAATGTCAGTGCTCTATGTCTCTGGATTCTTTAGATTATTAATTATTAAATAGAAGTCTTATATAAAGTAAATGTATTATACTCTTAACCTATGGCAGTGCTATACATAGATACTTGATAAACAATTTTCTTTTATCTCTTGCTATTTTTAATCCATCATATTTCACCTATAATTTATAATTTACTGATCTTCTAACCACCACATACTCAACCGGTTATAATTCCTACAATTGAAAACAAATTAGTAATTGATTATTTTAAATGATTAATACCAGTTGAAATTAGGAACACACTTTAGGCTCGACTTTAGGTATATTGTACAATTTATAATGTAGGCACTCTTTTAGCTCTTTTAGGTTTATGAATTATAGAATTGTTGAGGCCTATATTGAGACTTGCCACACTTCAGCAACATAATTTAACCTCCCTTCCTCATAGAAAAATATAACACATTTTTTTTGTATGTAACAACAAAAAAGATATATATACTAATCTGTCAATATGATTTTATTTAAATACTTAAATTGAGTTTACACAATAATTTGCAAACATACCAGTTTCTTGTCTTTTCTCATGCCACAATTGCAATAGTATTTACTTATGTGACTTGGCCAAATTGCATTCCACCTCATCTTTGGATATAGGAACTATTAGGTAATAAAAACATGGTTTTTTTTCAAAATATTTCTCCACACTACAATAGCAGATCCAGGGGAGGGGGAAAAGGAGCATTTCTCCTTCTTCCAATTGTCGTACATTGTGTTTATCAAAAAAATTAAGCACTAAGTCTACCACTGCACACTTAATTTATTATTAGGTACACAACTTATTTAAATAAACTTAATTTTTAGAAATTTTACTTTAAACATAGTAGCTTCATAGCAACTATTTGAAAACAAATTCAATATTGAATAGGACGTCATACATTTTATCATATTTTAGATCCTTATGTTATATTCGGTTTATTACTTACATTTTATTATAATTAATTATAAAGGAGCCCAAATTTTGAACTGTCCCTATTATCTTTTGTAACTAAAATTCTTTATTATTTGTTATTTATGATATCTAGAAATCTGTTTTTAGCTAGGTATGTGTAGCTACTTGCTAGTACACACTTAACCAAAAAGATAAGTTAAGTAATTATAGGTAATTGATGTATTTACATAAAAATAGGTATTGGTCAAGATTTATAAAGAAAAATCTGTTTAATAAATCAATTAGGTACTCTACTTATTTATACATAATATCTAATACCTATAATATAGGTACTTAATGTACACAATACCTTTAATTTTAATTTGTTAGCATTAAATATTTAATTGAATAACCTACTACCATAGACATATTTTTTGTTAAAGATATTGATTATAAGATATTTAAGAGACTGGAATTTATAAATAGTGTACAGCTTACAATATTAACCGTTAAGATATACTATCCTTTTTTTTATAAAATAATGTTAACTACATTAACCAATTTCAATAAGTTGATCATGAATATTTGATTATCATATTTGGTTATATTTAAAAAATAATATAGTTACCAAATATATTAACATAATAATATATTAATATGTATTAATGTAAGCGTCTATCATAATTGATACCTAATAATTTATATATTAAACCTTTCCCATCTTCTATTCACATCCAACCTTTGAATATTATAGTTTAAAATTTGATCAATACATGTGAGATAAAAACTATTTTAGTATTTTGTATAATATTTTATATTAATAGTTAAAAAAGAAATATAACCAAATACTCGACCAAATATCATGTAAAAATACAAATATAATTACTTTCTTATCTTATGTTATAACTTGTTAATGTTTTACGATTAATAAAAAAGATAATGAATAGGTATCATAGAGCAATAAATAAAAATATATAATTTAATTTATACTTGTCTTATTAATAAAAATTTTGATATTTAAACAATGAAAACCAAATAACAGTATGAATTACTTATAGAACCTTACATACATTTCAGATATCTGTACGTGATTATAAAGTAAAACGCCATACTCATTTATGTGCTAGACTTCAATGTCTGGCTTAGTGTTGATTATTTCAATTATAATACTAACAAAATATATTTTTTTATACAGCCATTAAAGATAAAATCTAAGAAGATTAACATTACATAATTATCTACCAGAATAAAATAACTTAAGATAAAAATAAATATATAACATACATAATAATATAAGAGATATACATTTTTAGGTACTGAGTTAGGTACACTACATTATAATTAGTTTAATTAGTGCAATGATGCCTATATCAAGATCTATACTATATATTTGATGTCCAAAGTTTCTATCCATCTTATTGTAGATATCCATCGTTACTTTATTAGCCTCGTGCCCTTGTATAAAATTCAAATGGATAATGAATACATAAATGATGTGATTATGCAATTTTAACTACAACTTATGATTAGGTTCATAAAAATAACTTTTATCTTATAGAATTTCAGGGGCATTTTCATATGCATTTGCATAATTATTACACTTTTATTAATTTATGCATTGTTATTTGTAGGTACGTGGTGCTCCAGCTATTGCCATTGTTGGTTGTTTAAGCTTGGCTGTAGAAATATCAAAAGAAGAGTTTGAAAAAAAAAAGGCTCTTCGACGAGAAGTTGAGGGTAAACTAAATTATTTAATATCTGCTCGGCCAACTGCTGTAAATATGAAACAGGCCGCAGACCATTTAATATCTTATATAAACTCTTTGGATAATGATGAATCAATTTCAGCACAAGAAATGCAAGCTAGGTAAATTGCTGCTATAAAAAAATTATCTTATCAATGTTTGTTTAGTACATTACCTAATTTATTTGTTAGGTTTGTAGCAGCTATAGAAGCAATGTTAGAAAAAGATATATCAGATAATAGATCAATAGGAGAATTTGGAGCTAAAGCAATTTTAAACAATGTTACGGATGGTGAACAAGTTCGTATTTTAACGCACTGCAACACTGGTTCATTAGCTACTGCATATTTTGGTACTGCATTAGGTGTTGTGCGTTGTCTACACTCTGCTTCAAGACTAGGTAAAATATTTGTTTTTGTATCAAATATTGTATATATTTTGAACCACTTCCCTTTTCTGAGTCATTGACATTTTAATACAATTATTACAAGTTAAAATATTAAACCGAAATGTATTTTAACATAAGTATTCTTTTTTAGAAAATTGTTATTTCACGGAAACGAGGCCTTACAATCAAGGTGCTAGATTAACTGCCTATGAATTAGTTCATGATAAAATACCATCAACCCTGGTCTGTGATAGTACTGTTGCTTATTTAATGAAGACTGCTCAGATTAATGCTGTTGTTGTTGGTGCCGATAGGGTAGCAGCCAATGGAGATACTGCTAACAAAATTGGAACTTATCAAGTTAGTAAATCTAATTATTGATACTTAATATTCATTATCTAATTTTTTAAAAGCTTTTGTTCTGTAAACCAAACTGTTTTAATTACTATATTACGCTCTTTGAAAACTGGTGACTCACTATCGTCTTGATTTAATTCTTTCTTAGAAAACTGGCAATAATGGGACAAGCATTTCAACATAAAGTCCCATATTTTCCACTTTAGCTCAAGACGTGTAGTATAAGGTGGCCATCTATCACATACTCATGTGCCCTTTTCTCTATTTATAAATAATACTTACATTGTTCTCCAAAGTTCTGAGTTCTTGTGTTTCCCAGACAACATACAATTTTACTCTGGAATTAAATTATTTGACAACTACTTACATATGTAGGAAGATGTAGGTACATTTTTATCATTGGGAAGTAAACTTGGTTAATAACCATTAAATGATTTTCCTTATTCTGTCAATGGTATAATACACAATCTTGATTTCACATTTACAAGGCCTTTAAGTTAATTGGCTCCATAAAAAGAATCACTTCTGAATTCAAGCCTTCTAGTTCCCACAAATAAGTATACTGTACACTTGTCAGAAATATACTAGAATATTTATCAATGTATGAGATCCTAAAACATGCTGGTATACCAAAACATGTCCAACAGAAATGTTTATCATTTGCAAAAGTTTAAATTAAATATCCCTTGTCTGCATCATATCCTGTCTTATACCAGTTCTCCCAAAGGCTAATTTAACAACCTTAGTTAATCGTCGACATGCTCTCAACATTTCATTCCTCCAAAAACTATCTCTGATTCCACTGATTTCTTTTTCTATTATCAATTTTTATATACGAATCAAGAATACCCGTAATCCTATTTCTTATACCTCACCATTCCACTAATTATTTAAGAATGAAACCATTAAGCAGTATCTTGAAATTTGTCAATGAGAATCTCTTATTTAATTTTGTTTGAATCCATTAATATTTCATACGTTATTATTTTTATATATTTACTTTAATACAAACCATTGTACATTATTTAACTATTAGGCAATGTCATTAAATTTTAAAACACCATTCATGACATTTAAAATATGTATATTTTCATGATGAAGTTATAACTTATTTTTTTTCCAACAGATTGCTGTAGTTGCCAAACACCACGAGGTACCATTTTATGTAGCTGCTCCACTAACTTCAATTGATTTTAATGTAAATACTGGTGATAGTATAGTAATTGAGGAGAGGCCTCAAGTGGAAATGACTCATATAAATAATATTAGAATAGCTTCTCCAGGTAAAAAATTGTTTATTCATTTATAATTTCAACACTCGGCTTATTTATAAATGTTAACTATTTTTATTGTATATTACCTATTTAGTATAAATACATTATTTCCAAGAATAATCTTATTAGTTGTCAGACTTGGTAAACTAAGTTTAAGTAACCACCAAAAAGTTATCCAAGAATAATACAATAGTAGAAAATTCTAAGGACCTTGAAAAAAATGTTAAGTATTGACAATTAGTTAATTTAGTTAAGTTGAGTTAAAAAAAGTTAACCAAGTTCAACTGTTATTGATTTTTTTTTTTGTTTTGAATAACTTAAATAATATGTTGTTGACAGGAGCACAACTTCTTTTTTAAATGAATGTACACTATTAAAAATATACATTTTCTCGTTTTTTAATAAACAATTAAATTCTTAGCTCTTTAAAAAAAATTCATAATTGTTTACTATTTGGACAGTTTTATTATAGAACTTCTGGTATTTAAATGTTTTTAATTATGTGAATGTTTCTAAACTAATAAAACATTTTTATTAGGTGGTTACTTAAACAAAATTAAGTATCAAAATTATTTTTCTTTGTTAATACTTAATATTTACAATTTGAAGTAGTCAATGTGAAATGTAATTAATTATTAATGATGGTGATTACAAATTAACTTAATACTTGGGAAGCATTTTCACTGGTATGCAACAAATTATATGTAAAGTTTATTAGAACATGAAATATTTAATTATTTTCCAAAAAAATATAAGATAGTAGTGTAAATAAAAGATTGGAAGTTATATTATGCAATATTCTTAATCTGTATTTTCTATGCACTAAGGTTCTTCTTTTAAGTAAATTATATCTAATTAAATATTATCTAAGTAATTATTCATAGTCCGTGTAATTTATCTGCTATATACTATATATTAAAAATTTAACATTTCCTAAGGAGCACTGCAGACGCTGACAATATACATTTTGGTTGTAACAATGCACAATGTACCCATAGCCTTACATTTTTCATAATTTTGTCTAAATATTCTTTTTAAATTTTTCATATTAATCTAGGTATTAAAAATTATAGGCTATATAACTCAAATAAATTAAAACAATGTATGTTTGATGTGCTAAACTATCAGTGTCAGCCCTGCCCCATACGGTTATAACAAATGTTGAACCACTTCTTTATAACAGTAGGCAACCTTACTTTGTTCGTGATTAAATTTATAGACAGTATATTATCTGTGTTATAAAATTTTGTGTCTACATTTTCACTCTACAATCAGATATAGATATTAAAATAATATGTCTATGTTTCAAACTAAAATTAATTATAAAATGTTTGAGCTACAAAATGTACCATACATCTAACATCATATTCTTCTATACAAATTTAATGGTTTGGAAATCAGCTATAGTATTAACGCTGAACCCACAGTGTTATGATCTTAGTTTAAAAAAAATCAAATCTCCCTAATTGTGTATATTTTTATTTTTTTTTATAAATGTATAATATAATTTTTGTTATTACAAAATATTTAACTAACTATACTTAACTATTGGCTATTATTTAAAATTCAATCTCCAGTAATAGACTGGTGTACAAAAAGATTTTTTTTATAATGCATTTTTCACATTCATATTAGTTTACAACTATTTAACATATTATATCTTAAACAATTTGACAAGGCTAATCTTCTCTGAAAAACAACATAATTATAATATTGCTTAAGTTAAGAATTCCATAGGTTGTTTAAATATCTATATTTATTTTTGAATTAGTTAAACTGATGTATTGATTTCTTACAAAAAATGTAATTAAATAATTTCAGGTGTAACTTGTTGGAATCCAGCATTTGATGTAACACCAGCTCGACTGATAACTGGAATAATCACTGAAAAGGGTGTTTTCCGACCATCTGAACTCTCCACACTCCAGTCTCAATTGCAAGATCATAAAAATTCACTTCCCCAACTGTAATACATACCTAAATATTATATCATTGCACAAACACATCGTACAACTTTTTTTATAAAAAAAAAATGTAGGCTATTTTTATAATATATGTATGCGAAAGCTACATTCCTAAGCCAGCAACATCAATTTTTATTTATGTATAAATGTATAATCATAATATTATTGTCTGTTGAAAAATATTTTTAATATTATATGGAAACAATTAATTCCATTGACAAAGAGAACATAAGTACATTGAGAATAGACCAATTATTACTTATATATTTTAATTTAGTCAAGTATAGTTGTGATACAAGTTATAATAATATTATTTTTATAATTTAATTTAATTCTTTTTTATATATAAACATATATAATATATACATAATTATATATATGTAATGGGGTTAAAATTATTTTTATTGAAAAAAAAAAATCATGGCTATAAATCATTTAAAAATTATTTTCATAAAGGGCCTTTAAAGAAAAAATGCATGGTTTTTTTATACTTACTACATATTTTAACAATTCATATATGAAACTAAATTTTTAATTTTCTAAACATTTTGTATGCATAAGTTCTAACATAAATTAATATGAAGATTGATGTTGTTTTCAATCATAATTAAAATATTTATTTAATACCCTTAAATTAGGTATACCCTTCATTTCTTATTATGTGTGTATGATTTATTATGAAATTCCCTCTCGAATTCTTACGTTATGTACTTATGGCGTTTTTATTTGCCTATTGTGATAATTGATAAGCTAAAAACATACAAATATTAATTTTAATATCATGTTATTATGTACATTTACGTTTTTATGTTTAGGGTATCTAACAAAATCTTCTTCATAACTTTATGTAGCATAAAGTACCTATTTCAAAGCGCATTTAATGATTATTATTATTATCAAATTATTTATATGATTATATTTTTAATGATATATTTTAGAAATTCTTTTACTAGACATATAATTCTATGCCTGTTACATATTTATAAACTGCCTGTGTAAAATGAAAACATGTGCGTTGAGATTGTTAATATGTTAATAATTGTCTCTAATCTGCATATTAATATAATAATTATTTATTTACTTAAAAAAAAAATAATAATAAACACAAACAAATTATTACATCAATCTTCTATGATATATATTATGTTAAATGAATAAAGCATAGTGTAATGACGTGGGTATGCATAGGTGGTATGTGATAAGCGACCTTAACCTTGAAAATTGGACAAACTTGGGTGGAAAAACAAGATGCTAATGTACATTGAAGAACTTTAACAAATAAATAAATGGCGTCAGTGAAAGAAAAGGAAGAAGACGTCGAGTGTTCATTTTTACACCCAGGCACGTTTAAATTTTTTTCTAGTGTTCTAAATATAGATCAAAAGGGGACTGGGAGTATTTACTACGCGCATGCTGGCCAATGCGCCATCGAATCGGCCAACTATCAAGATGTTTAGCACGGGAAAAAACATTGTTCAATTTATAAATCAACTTAGATAATCGCACCAGCAGCGCAGTGTGCGCGAGTGTTGAAAAATTAGATTAACGTATTGGTCCGGCACCGTATTATTATACTTCGTTTCGGTAGCTGTATTGCATTTTTTCACCGTACGAATTTTTCATTTTCAACGGAATCAAAATGGGCAGCGTCGAAGAGATTTATGAGAATGAAATACACCGTACCATCACACGGCGTACGAGCTTCAAAATTCAAGAGGTAAATTATTGTCTAAATAACTATTAACCATTACTACACTGTTGCATAACGATAATATTATTATTAAAATATACACTAATTTTTTATTTTCAATCTTGGTGCGTGCTGCACGGAGTTTTATAACGTTGTCGAAATTTTTAATTGACCCATCAAAATAAATATTCATCACCGTTCTACCTGGCTACTGCCTACTTTGTACTTACCTATACTATTGTTATTATTCTCCAACATGATAACATCATAATATGTAATATATAATAATGGTATCGTCTGCTTTAAAATATTTTCATCAAATCCAGACGTAAGTATTAAACTAGTAGTCGATGTTATTTGTTATTCTTTTTAAAAACAATATAATGGATGTCTACGTGAGGTTGAATTTTTTGTTCTGCGAGACTAAATAGATTAACTACGTAGCATTGATAAATTATGTCGCACAATGAAAAACAAAAACATACTGTAGGAAGTGAAAATTGAATGAAAATGTTTTCGACATTCAAGGTCGTTTAAAATAAAGGTAAAAAATATATATTATATTGAACATAAGAAATATAATAGTATCGTAATGTTATGGTAGCCGGTAGGTATACCTATTACTTAAACCTTCTTCCGTGCAAAAAATAAAAGAAGAGATATTGAGATTTTTTAGAGACTGACTTTTATTAACGTTCCTTGAAACGATTGAACCCAACCTTTTTGTCAGACTGATAACTTATTATTGCCATATAGTAGAAGGTTCCTATTCCAGTAACGATGTAGTATTTATGAGCAATTGAAAATAGCAAATTTAAACAATAGTAATTCATTCACATTGAAAATAATTGTAATTAATTTAAATCTTTATTTTCTGGGGCAGTAAAAATGTTTCGATTTTCTACTTCAGCATCTTTTTTGGTAGTAAAGTGAATCTAGTTGGTACTTTGGAGGGGAGTCAAGAGTATGTTCAGAAGGTAGTTTTCAAAAAGTTAGGGAAAACAAACAAAATGTAATCGAAAAAATCAAATTTGTTTTTGAGTATACTTTAAAAAAATTAACCATAGATACGAATAAATAGTACTATCTACAGCCGTGAAACGAATTACGAATGTTTGTATTGGTATTTTTTTGAGACCATATAATTTATTTTGAAATGTTTTTGAGCTAATAATAGGCATAAGAAAATTCCGATCTTTATTAGTTTTTTTTAAACTATTGTCAATAACTAAGTTTTCACTCGTTCAAAAAACTTTAATACTAGGTTCTGCAAGTGGAACTATATCTAATAAAGTAATAACATAAATTGTTTTTTATTTAAAATGGACAGATTGAACTACGTGATGGTCTTTATCTAATGTATAATTCGTTGTATTTCATATAGCTGTATGACCTATACTTACAGCTTATCTGGTGATATACTGAGATGTACGCATATCTTATCGTTTTTTTTTACATAAACCGTTGGTAAACACTGCATAGTATTATACTGACATTTAAATAACCAAATATCTACTATACTATAAGTACACTAAATGACTATAATTTACCTATAAGCTATATCCCAATCCCAAATACTTACCTAATACGAATAATACGCCCGATCAATTAAAATATACAGTGGTTGGCAAGATAATGAAAATAATTAACTCAAATTAATACTAGATCGATAAGTTTAAGGTTAACAGTTAACAAACCATTAATTTAACTCAAAAAGTTAAAAGTTAATCTACTTTTTTAAATTAGTGTGTAGATCACATAAAGAGTGACTGCATTCTTGAGAAAGATCTAATTTCCTAAATTATAATAATCAATTGTATTGAATTGTTTACTATAATTTACAGCAGTGGCGCCGAAGTGTTTGAAAAATAGTACCTATGACATTTTACATCAAGGGCCACTCGCTATCGTATTTATTTATCTTTATAGTTAAAATTCTTTATAAATAACATTCTGTGTAATTTATAGTTTTATTAAAAAAATGTCCTGGTCAATGCAAGTGCACTATAGTTCATAATATTGTCTACAAGTATAAACAGCTTATCATAAAAATTGATTTGGGTTATACACTATACATATACAATAAATTAATTTTCAAGTTATTTTTGGCATTTTTTTCCAATTTCCAGAATATGGTTGATCTCCGTATTTTTCTTATCGATAATTGCTATTTGTACTGGAAAAATATTAATATAATAATATTCTGTATGTCTTATGGCTGTGTGCTTATCTAATCTACTAAAATATATCCATATTATACAACATTATTTTATCAAAAAAAATAACAGAAATGTTTGTGTTCTTATAGTATTGGATGATTTTTTTTTATATTAATATTTACGTGTAAACGAAAAATTTCAAAAAAATCTTAACTTGATAGATCATTTTGACAATCATGTTGAAATCAACTGACAAGCTAAGTTATTTCAACTGCCAATTATTAATTAAGTTCAAAAGTTTAAAAAAAATTAACTTTTTAACTTTTTAACTAGTTAATGCCCACCTTTGAAAATTTAGAGATATGGTCTTATAATATAGATCGTTATATATTATATTATATGCGGTTATTAGGTTTGTAGATGATGGGTTGTTGAGTGGTAAAATGATTAGCGATAGTGATAACTATGTTTTAAGGTATGATACCTTAGCGTTAGTCTTAATCCACTGCTCTATTTTCTATTCATGATATTATAAACTATGCGCCAAGAATTACCTATATAGCCAACGAGCGCCTCTGGGACGAGTTATGTCGAAAGCTAACCCTACTTATAATTTCAATTCTTTTTTAATGGTTTTATTTTAATATCAAGTCATTTAATATTTATATAATGCATTTTGTGCATCGTAGGTACGTAGGTACATATGTGTATGTATTAAGGATTTAGCATCATGTACCTAACACCTTTATGTTAGTAAAATAAAAGTATATAAGTAGGGCTACGGCATACCTAACTAAAATATAATATATCATATTATAAATTGTTTAAAATCTTGGTAGGTAGTAGGTTAGAATCGCTTCGAATGAGTTTTCGATTATCTTATATAAATTATAGGCGCCTACTTCAATATTTTTACGATGCACACTATACCACGTGAGTAGGTACTACAGATTCTTCTAGCTTACGAATCGATGATAAATCGACATAATAAGTACCTACTAATAATAACAAGTACCAAATGGATAAGAAAACGAAAACATGATCTATTCGTTTCAAACCAACATTTTACATACAATCGTTATTAGTTATAAACTTATATAAGTAGGTACTTATATTATACATTACACATGCAGGGCCGTCGTTACGATTTGTGATGCCCCATAATTTAATTTAGAATAAAACATTATTATCAATGAGATAATAATAATGAATAACTAAATTAGACTAACAATACCTAACCAATCATACAATATAGTATTTCATAGGTATATAAAAATCAAAAGCGTCTATAGCATTTAAGATTTAGTGAACTTATAGGCCTCTGAATTAACATGGACTGTATACGTGTCTGGCCAATGTATAATAATATGGAATAATATAATATAGCCTTTAAATATAAAGAAATATGAAAATTAAAAATTATAATTAAAAATAATTAATTATAATTATAATTGAAATTATATATTTTCTTAAACTTTATTCACGTACGTTTTGACAGCCCCCCCCCCCAAAAAAAAAGAAAATCTATAAACAAACTATGCAAATATTTACCACGTAATTCGCACGAATTCGCAAGCCTATTTTGAGAATTCGCACGACCTTCAAAAAATTCATTTCACAGTTTGTTTTATATAATTAACATCTAAAATTGAAAATTTTAACCTAACCTAACCTTACGTTTTAGCAGCTTCAATCTCGGTGATCATTTGAATTTGTTCCTCTTGACTAAAAGGTTTTTTCTTCGGCTTCGTAACATAATATTCTTGCAAATTTTCATAAAATAATACTTTTTCCATATTTTATTATTTTTATAAAATAACGTATTAGTAATTCAACAACTACCAACAATTGCAGGTATAAGACAGACTACCTAGGCACTAGCAGACAATAAAATTGCCAACGGGATCATACGCTATCTGTACATCGGTATATTACTATATATATATATACAGTCATTTTATATCTTATCTTGAAATTATCAGATCGACTGACGAACTAGTTTATACAATGTACGAGTTACAAATTATAACAAGCAAATTTTATATTTATTTAAAATCCAATTACCTAGTGTAAATCGTACAATTACCCAATACCAAAAATAATCATGCATAATAGTAATTTTGCACAATGTGGATAAAATGAATTCATCCACTTCATGAAGAGGTTAAAAAATTGTCCATATAGTGTAATAAAAAGTCATTTTCACTAAATGGATAAATTTCATGAAGTGGATGTCCACTTCATGAAATGAGCGATTTCACTAAATGGATGCGACATATATATATAAAGAAATAACAAGTTTCTTTGATGACAAATGTAAATAAAGTGTTAAACTTCAAGTAGAACATATACATTGAATAAATTATGCATTTTTTGCTTATGTTTTATTATTTAGCCGTATAGGAAACAATTATTAGTTAAGACCAAAATATGATTGATCATGATACAAATTTAAAACTTTTTTTCTAGATTTTGTAACAAAATTTGTTATATTGTACTTATATTATATTATATAAAATGTAAGCACAAATTGTGAGGCCCCTACAAGCGCTACCTACCCTTAACAATGGCCCTGTATATACAATGTAGGTATACCTATACAATTGTGAATAAAGAGTTAAGAACCTATAGTATGTTACAATCAGAAAAAGTAATAGGTAGGTAACTATAACTTTTTACTATTTGCAATGGCTAAAAAAATGGATTATTATAAATGTAAGTTTATTCAAATTGATCATGAATATATGTTTTTTTTCATTTTTGACAAAAGGAGTCGACCAGTATAAATTGTTATTAAGTGTACTGACTAGTATTTACAATCTAATACTAATATTGTATTATAAAAGATGAGTTTAGCTATATTATATAAATATTCATATTTCATACCATATGACTATATTTTAATTTTTAATACAGGTAGGTATGATAGTCAACAAAATATTATTATTTTTTTTTTTTGAAACTTCCATGGGTGCCAAGATTAAACTAGGGTTTAGTGGTGCACTGGTGCTTTAGCCCCAATAATTACGACAGTATCGTTCTACCATATTATAATTATTTAGATTATTTGATCAACTTCTATAACGTATAAATTGTAAATTTGGGAATAGCTTCACAGCCGAAGATAATATTATAGTTACTCCGAGTTTGGTGATAACTAATGACGTCATGATAAACCGGGTTCGAATGTCCGACGATGAACAGACCATGAAGACCATAGTTTTTCCGCCACTCTATATCGTCAGGTTGACCTGAGTTTAAACAAATTTTAACTTGTCACTTATGCATGAGAAATCACATAAAACTAGCAGCTTAAGCCGCTTTTTTGCTTCCATGGCCGACAACATTGACACGAGTCGTGAACATTTTTTCACAAAAACAGTAAGTCGCTACTCGTTAGTCAAGAAGGTTAAATACCACTGTCATACACAATACGTTGTTGTGAGACTATATTTTATTTTTCCACTAATTAAATTTCCCCGAACGTTGAACGTTTTAACTGTAAAAGGAGGAGCTGCTAAAGAGCATGAAAAAAAAGAAGGAAGTTTAATGAAGCTGCAAAATCTTGTCAAAATATTCAAAACTTTTTTATGAATATTATAATTAATGAATTAATATTGAATATCATGCTCCTGTATTAGACTTGATCTTGGCAAGTTTGTATTCTGTTAATATTAAGTATATGTATAGCAAGGCTTTAAAACATTATATGTATAACAGAAAATTTTTTCAAAAAATACAATTTAGATACCTACTTAGATATTTACAAAATGGTTGAATGTAGAGGGCCGATGATAATAATATATGGGCATTGGGCACTAGTGCATTACTACTAGCTTTTAGAGTCTTCGCACTCCTATGACTATAGAATAGTACTAGTAGTACTTGTAGTAGTATCGTAGGTATATCTTATAGAGTATAAACTGTATAACATCTACCTATATATTATATTTATTACGATGTCGTACAGACTAATTGCGTTTGAACGTCTTCGCGACAGTGAGTAAAACGTTTGGCCAGCTCGTGCGAAATATTATAATTCTTGGCACCTGACAAAAGCGCGCCTTGTGTGTATATGCATGTAGTTATATTATTATATACGTAAATAGTAGGTAGGTACATATTATAATAAACCCTCGCGGGCGAGTTTATCCGATCCAAGGAATGCGTGACACGTCGTCGTAGTTTACCGTGAGATCCTTTGCTCGCGATTTGTCACGCGGTTCCCTTCATACCCCACCACATCGAACGCTTTGGTCCATATGCCACCCCGGAGCTCGCAGCCGACAAAATATGTTATCGTTTGTCAGTTGTCGTACAACACCAAAAACTACGATATATCATCCGAGAACATTCTCTTTCTTTCCCGCCGTGTTTATTATAATTTATAATACAAGCGGAGACGAGCAGACGACACATAATAATAATACTGTGGATAGACTACGACGACACGTCCTATTTCTTGCAGCACCTATAAATATAAATAACAATGTGCACGGCGTGCCTACCTACTATACCTACCCGTGTTTGTTTGGTTCTTTTGATAACAATAATAATAAATTCTTACGGATGCCGCAATATTATCTACCTACCTAATTTGTCATTGATTATATTTTGCTTTTCGAGTTCAATACATTCAACTGCAATTATACATTTGTATGATATAATTTACCTTTTAATCAATCATTACCCATCTATTTTACAGTCTTTGAGATTAATTTGAATACTCATGGAATGTTATAATATTATGCCGGGTACATGTATAATGTGTAAGCAATTCGTACAATTTCGTAAAATAAATTTTAAATTAAAATTTTTTAGCTATTGTAGTTGACCTAGTGCCAATAGGATGTTACCTACTGGCTACTACCTTCCAATCACGATCTGTTCCGAATCAAAACAATTTGAAAGGATATTTTTATTAAAGCTTCAACGTAACTTCGATAATATATATTTATATATATATTTTATATTATCATAAAACAATGCGCAGTCAAACATATCAACACAATTGTGTGGATACTATTATATTACTATATCGTACATGGACATAGGTACCTGATTGTAGAAAAGAGTCTATAGTCTGTCACCAAGCACTGAAGCAGTATGCTTTTTTTTACTTTCATTCATAAAGTTGTACATGTTTTTGTAATAAGCCCTATACAGTTTTAAATTTAAATACTAAAATGATAGACTGACCAGTGACGATATTTTCTCGATAAGCTGAAAAAATTAAAACCAATACAATTTTATATTAATAAAAATTATAAGCTTATCAGAAGTTGTTATAGATAACTATAATACAACAATTATTTTTTTTTTATCTAATTTTTTTTTCACTTCTATCGAAGTTTAGTGTGCAATGTGCATGTGTGTATGTGGACCCTGCAGGCACAATTAAACGCATAAAAATGATTGACATCTAAAAGTTATATTGCAATAATAAAAATAATAATGTATTCATGTTTATTGTCTGTAAAGACTGTAACCCATAAATCACACTCACAAGTGAACAATTTAAATGATCAAATCCAAATGGTTTAAATACATATCCACTCTAAAGTAATGTTTATAATATTGAGTTGAATTTTTATTTCGTAGCCTTTTTTCTTTGGTATCTTATTTTTTTGGTTTCTTTTCCTGCATTCCTTTTATAGTAACTTGTGGAGAGCAACCTATTGTAGCTGTATATTTTAGGTAATAATATATCGGTACCTATACGTGCCGAAAACCGGTAAAAAAGACGCATTAGATATTGTTTTCCTCCGCTTGTTTGCTGTTTACCATTTACTCGGATCACAATGACTTTATTAAAAATAGCCGGGTTTTATTTGATGTTAAATAAACCATGGGATTAAAATTTTGTATGCTTGGCAGATGCGTTTGTTATTATATACAGTATGGCTCAGAGTGACGGTTGCAGTGCCCACAGCCCATAACTCATGTTAAATGAATAAGAATACATTTTTTCAGGCAAATTTATAAGTATATTTACACGATTAAAACCTTATTTATTGGCATAGTTTTCAAAAGTCTGCTTTCATTTTTAAAATGAAAAAATATTTGAAAAATGGATTTAATTTGATTTGTGGACTCGCATTCAGTAACAGTTTTTGGAGTTTTTTCGTTCTGGGACACACTGTATATTATACTTGAGTATAGCTTACAACTTTTTTATTTTTTTTAATAATAATAATACGTTGACCTAAAATGTGATCCATTGGAGACATGTCTATGTTGCTTAGTTTAGATCGTATTGTGCATATCACAAGCTATGCAAAAAGTAAAAATTCAAAAGTATATAATATCTGTATTCTATATTTCTATAACACCATGCGTTACTTATTATTATATACACTAAGAATATTCTTCCGTTTATTAAACATTTAAATATTCAACGCTATTAATTATTATACAACGTTGTTGGAAATGTCTTCAACGTCTTCTAGAGATGGTTAACCCACGAATGATAAGTTCTAATGTTTTATACTATAATTTTTATTCCTTCTAAAAATAGGACACTTAAAAATATTTAATATTTATTTAGGTTTACATAAGCAAGTCTTAAATAATCAAGTAATCAAGTGTATAGTCTTCACTTTAAAAGATTTATGTTTGGTCCATTCATCATTATTTAAATATTTACGAGTCGCAACAAATGAATCATGAAATGGTTACACTTTAAAAAAATCAGGCAAGTCACAAGTAGGTAATTATAACGCTCTGCTATATACTAGGTGTCTAGAGAAGTCACTGTAATGGATGTATTAAATTTGAATTCAATGGTATAAAATAATTTTATGCGAAAAACGATTCTGAGCTACTAGACTACCTTTTTTGAGGTCTAATAGAAATAAACCTATAATATTTCTAAATATATATTATAATAACATTGTGATTCACGTAATTTATTTCACTATTAAAATTTATAGGTATTCGTACATACTGTAGTATATAATTTAAATTAATTTTTCTAAAAAAATGCATGTGAAAAATATGTCATAGTGTATTTGTGGGTGTATTGTATAAAATATTATAATATAATAATATATTTTAAAAGTTTCAAGTACCCAGGAATAATAATTTTAAATTACAACAAAATAACTAAAATTGTTAATCTTTGTATAAATATCTAATTTCGTCCAAATTGTATATAGTAAATAAACAAACTGTATTTATATAATTTTTAGATTTCTTGGTTTCGGTATGAATTACTCACATGAAACCTTATTCTAAATGTTCAACTAGGTATCTATATTATAAAAATTGAACATTTTATAAATTTTTAACTAGAAAATAATTTGCAAATT